AATAAAATAAGGTTTTGTATTGCCATCAAATAATTCAAATTGTGTCAAAGAATTTGTGGCAGTTCCAGGTTCTTATGTGGCCCCTTTGATAAATTAATAAGCCACCCTGATCTAAAATGTGGCCATTGAATGTAATGTTTACTTTCATGGTTAAATGTTTTTTTTCCATTTGTCACACCATGTAATTGGTAAATTGATTTATTGTACTTCTTTTAAGACATGAGTAAAATTAACATTTCCAATTTTGCATTATTTTATTCCACAGTTCCAAATAGTAGAACAAATCTAAATAAAAATAGCAAAACCTATGATTCTTACTTTAAAAAAGTAACTCGTTGACATATTTTACTTTTTATTTCTCAGCTCATTAAAATGGAGTTCGCCCATCTGCCCATTTAAAAATGAATTTTGTTTCTTCGAGTGGTGAAGAGCATAATGAGAGCAGAATTCAATCTCTGGGATTACGACGACATCCTTTGATGGGCCCTGCAGCCCTTGAATGATTGCTGTCTTTGGCAGTTCAGTTTGTTGCTGCACATCTGCATGAGCCTCTCAAGGAAAGACCACTTCGATTTAAATGTAGACTTGAATAAAGCACCAGGAGGCTCTCAGTCGGTCTCATCGATCGACAGTCCCTGGTTCACATTCAGAGTATTAAAAATGAATGATTGTCAGAATCCCAGTTGGCGTTGCAAACCGTCAACGTGCTGACCCTTCACTGAGCATGTGGACGAGCCACTGAGCACGTTTGTTTTGAGGGCGGCTCTCGAAGCTAAAAATAGCATCGGCAGATGACAGCGTGGCGTCTTCACTACGAGGGAGAGAAGGTCAAAGAGTCAGCAAGTGTTTTTTGTACCTCTGCAGGAACGCCGAGGAAAGACGTCTGCTGTGGAAGCTCGCCAACCTCTCGCCCACCAACCACAGCAAAGGTCAGAGCTGCTTTTCTCCTCTGCCGTTCAACCAGGACGGGAACTAAGCGGGAGGAAATTAAACAGCTTGACATTTCCCCCATATCCAATCTGGATGTTGTTTTATAATATATCATTAGCTTCTCTCACATTTCCCTTGATTGCCTCTTCTTCCGCGCGTCATTGTGGTGTGCGGACATCTTTGCGCAGACGCCCACGTCGTGCGCTGCAGATGTTGAACCGCTCCTAAAAAGCGATCATCATGAATCACTTTCGAAACTGCTTTTATTAATGTGTGTGTGTGTGTGTGTGTGGTGGGGGGGGGGGCAGAGATTGTTTATGTAAGGGTTTTCTAATTGGAAACATGGTAGACAACAGTTTAACAGCATGTGGGGGAGTCTGTTCTAATGGTGCTGGAGGTACAGAATTAGTTTCTTTGCTCTTCTCTTAACATAATGATGATGACCGGCACTAGCCAGCATGGAACAAAACTACAAGTGAAGCAACTCAGCCTTTAAAGATATACACAGAGAGTGAACAGGAAGGTGTTTCCAGAGCAATGTAATCCTACATAGTAGCCTTAGTATTAGGTGTTGCATATCTATATATACACAGTGGTACCTCACCTTACCTCACCTTACAAAGTTAATTGGTTGCATGACCACGTTTGTAGTACAGTACCTCGAAACATTCGTAAATTGAAGTCCATTTTCCGATTGAAATGGAAAAAAAATCCGTTACAGTCCCTTGTCCCTATATTTTATCATATATTGGTTGCTGACCCCTGGTTGGTCAAAGTTAATTGGTTGCATGACCACGTTTGTAGTACAGTACCTCGAAACATTCGTAAATTGAAGTCCATTTTCCGATTGAAATGGGGAAAAAAATCCGTTACAGTCCCTAGTCCCTATATTTTATCATATATTGGTTGCTGAACCCTGGTTGGGCGCATCCCACATCTTACCCAAAGAGTCAACTGGGATAGCCTCAAGCTCACCCAATTGCTCCAGGGAATGGATGGATGGAAGCTGCAGTCCACTCATATCCACGTGACTGACCATCTACTTCGCACACCCCCTTTTCTATTCTGCCACCTCTACAAACCCCCCCCATCCACTGGCTCCACATGTCACTACAACCCTCAGCTACCACTCTCCCCATTCACACTATCACAGACACCTCCGAACGCAGTGGTAATTCTGCTCACAAAGGCAATCGCATCTACATCCCACCCAGTTGTCCTCATGACAGCTTCTAGCACAAATTCATTGACCACGACTACTCAGTCATTTCCATCCCGTCATTTTCATATTATTTGTAGTATTTTTTATATATCAATCAGTGTCTGGCTGAAAATAAATGCAGTACAACATAAAAATAAATGGAGATGTATTGCAATTGGCTGTCAACCAGTTCAGGGTGTACCTCGCCTGCTGCCCGAAGATGGCTGGGCTAGGCTCCAGCATGCCTCCAGCGTGCAACCTTTTTGGGTCTTTGACTTTACTCGTTCGGCTGTGTGTTTTATAGTGCCGTTGGAGTTTGCAGTGGTGTCACACAACTGACTGAGAGTATCATTGAGAAGAAATGATTTCAAAACCTGTCTTTATCAGCTCTGACGAGATTGTGCGCCGTGTCTCCCTGACTCTCAGGCTCGGGGACCCTGTGTGCCAGCTGGCAGTGTTCGGAGGTCCCCCGAGGACCCCCGCCCGGTCTGGCCGTTCAGTTCATGGGCTCGGGGGCCTCTCTGTCGGGCATGGACGTGGCGCTGGTCGGCAGCCACTACCGCATGTCGCTTGTCAAGAAGAGATTTGCAACAGGTGATGCATGACATTTGTCGCCACGTTTCGACAAAGGGTGTATCAATTGCCTTCTAAGCCATTCATGCAAAGTTAAAACCACCACTTAAGTGTTAAACTGCATCATTTTATCAACTGCTCATAACTAATCACCCGCTTTGATGACAACCGCAGGCTGAATTCATGTGACTTGCCATCACCATAACTTGTCGTGGATGGTAGATAACGAATGGATAACCGATTTTGACAGTTTTCCTCTCTGCTGTGTGCCTGACAGGAAAGTATATGGCAGGCTGCACCTTGTGAACACAGGGTGGACCATCGTTGGGAGGTTCGGAGAAGTTTGCGGCTTGGATGTAACAGTTCGCCAAGACCACAAGCACTTAAGTTGTGACGAGTCTATTTGCTGCTATGGTTAGGACCAAGCCTTTCACTTGTGTGTTGTTTCCTCTTTTCCTGGAACAAAGTTACTTGTTTTCTCCCGTTGTACTACTGGACTATCAACTAAACTAAACGTTACAGCTGACTCTTTGTGTACAGGGAAGCTTGTATCGAGTAGGAAGTTAAGCATATTCTGAGCCGCAATTGAACTTTGAAGTGATGTAGAGTTACTGGCATGTCCGAAATGGTTCAACAGGGTCATTGATAAATTTTCTCTACCTTAAAAAAACAAAACAAAAAAAAAAAAACGCAATGTTTGTATATCTGCTGTTAACTCCAACAAGAGGATTTGTGATATTTGATAAAGAAAAAAAAACAACAAAACAATGCATGTGCAAGTCTTTGGTTTATGCCAATTTATTATTATTACACATTGTGACCAAGTACAAAATACAACTGAATTTAGCAGTTTACCAACCACCGTGTGTCCTCGGGCGAGATCAGGTGGCGGTTTGAAAAGACACAAAATAAGGGTTCAGTATACTTGTAAGAGGACCAAAATCTAGTTCAATAAAAAAAGAATCGGCCAAAGAGCTAAAACAGTCTTACAAAACATTAAAAAGAACACCAGAAATGAGCTTTTTTTAAACGCACTTTGAAGGCAAACGACAGACGGGAACACATCTCAAAAAGCCTTAAATAAGTCTGAACAAGAATGGAGGGGGAGAATATTGAGTCGAGTAAACGCAAAGAATAGTTTCATCTAACTAGGAACTACTCTTCATACTTTGAACAAATTAATCACACGGAAAGTCTAATCGGTTACAAAATACTTTCTTTAGATACAATGAGGAGAAAAAAAGAGGCCACGGAATACACTTTCTACATCATATAAAGATATACTTAATATATGATTTAGTAAAATGGTAATCCTCTGCTAAGGCTCTCAGTAGCTATAATATAATCCCAAAGTCTCCTCGGCGCGGGCCGCTGAAGATGCTATCTTGCTACTGAGCCCACTGGAGCATGCCCGAGAAATCTCGTGAGGTAAAACCACAGTAACTCAACCTTTTGGTTACCAAAATGCAACTACATCTGCTGCAACTGTTATGTACGGCAACTGTGGAAAGCCGTTTGAGCGTTGATTCGCTCTCCAGCTTAAAGGTCCATGTACTAGTGTGCTCTTGTCCTCATTTCGAAGACGATTCAGTGCTCTGTGTCTTACTAGTATTTTTTATTTTATTTTTTCCCACGTGCAGTATTGCTTGTTGGCAGATCTCGTTTCTTGTTGGCAGTTTGGATAACCACACACATACACACAACTGCAATGGCCAAGTTGCTGAGGGTAAGGTCCTTTGGGTCCATCGGTTGCATGTTTGTCTTTTTTCATTCTGTATGCTGCGATTTGCAGCAGAGGCCACGAGGAGTACACACACGCTCAGACGCGCACACACCTCCACTTGAGCTGAGGGAAAGGTGCTCTGAATGAGGTTTGCAGACGATACATTCGTAGTGTGGTCGAGGCACAGCTGAGGGACAGCCTGACATCTGGAGTGATGGGTTCCGAGTTAGCAATCTAAGGCACTCAAATGACACCATGGCACAGCTAATCCAACAGAATAATAATAATAGAATTGAAATTTGAAAAAAAACAACACATCAGCACTGCACACACCAAGTTACACACCCCCAAAAAATAGACTGCACAAGCTCATTCACAGTTGCACAAAACGAAAAGAAGATCAGTTGTGAGTTGAGATTGCTTCCTAGGACCAAAAAAAAAAAAAAAAATGCAGCGGTGTTACCATTGCTCGGACTGACAACACAGCCGCTGGATCTAGCTAGACAAATGTACACGGGCGGGGAAGCGACGTGGGCCGAGCGCACCGGCCTCACATCTCCTGCAGAGGGTGGCTCATTTCGATGCGCTGCGCTCCCCCTTGACGGCCGGCTCGCTTCGAGACACGTCTGCGTCGCTGCCCAGGTCGCTCAGCTCATCCGAGAAAGACACGTCTGACGGAGAGGAAAGACTTCATTAAAATCACGTTTTATAGTCTTTTGCTCGTCGATACGTATTGATTTATTCATTCATTTAACCTTTTTCCATGAGTGATGGCATCATGGAGTTCAGGTCACTGAACTGAAATTCAAGAGAGAAGAGTTTGACGGCGAGGTCGATGACAGTGAGAGCGGAGCGGAGTTTGCTTCACCTCTCCCATGACGGCGATGGGCGTCTCTCCGGTGGCCTGAGCTACCCGGTGCTCCACCAGGTAGAACATGTACTCGTCGTACAACAGGCGGATCAGGTGGAAGGAACCGAAACTGGCAGCGCTGCGCAGAGTCAGGTCTCGAATCACCATAGAACTGTGCGGGTGAGGCGGCGGGAGGTGAAAGGTTAGTAATAGGGGTGTGCATCCCCCCCACCCCCCGCACCCCCATCGATGCAAGACAATTCAACAGGTAATATGTGCAGGTGACAAATGATCAAGTTGAGGCTGTTGTCAACTTAATAAGAATGACAAACAATTGTTCACAGGGTAGCTGCTTCAAAAGTCTAAAAATATCTTAAATCCAACAATTTGAATTTAAGGCCTTAAAATGTGTAAAATTCTCCTAAAAGCCCATGTTAGATCTTAAATACGATGTTGAAAGGTCTTAATCTATTCACATTACTCTTACTTGGATCACGCATGAACTTAAGTCTCGCTTTGAAACAGAGGCGATGGCTCTAAGACTGCAAGGGAAGCTCAGCTTCCCCTAAAATGTCAAAAAATAAGTCATCAAACATCATAAAAAAAAAAAAAAAAATGCAGCGGTGTTACCATTGCTAGGACTGACAACACAGCCGCTGGATCTAACTAGACAAATGTACACGGGCGGGGAAGCGACGTGGGCCGAGCGCACCGGCCTCACATCTCCTGCAGAGGGTGGCTCATTTCGATGCGCTCCCGCTTGACGGCCGGCTCGCTTCGAGACACGTCTGCGTCGCTGCCCAGGTCGCTCAGCTCATCCGAGAAAGACACGTCTGACGGAGAGGAAAGACTTCATTAAAATCACGTTTTATAGTCTTTTGCTCGTCAATACGTATTGATTTATTCATTCATTTAACCTTTTTCCATGAGTGATGGCATCATGGAGTTCAGGTCACTGAACTGAAATTCAAGAGAGAAGAGTTTGACGGTGAGTGTGACGGCGAGGTCGATGACAGTGAGAGCGGAGCCGAGTTTGCTTCACCTCTCCCATGACGGCGATGGGCGTCTCTCCGGTGGCCTGAGCTACCCGGTGCTCCACCAGGTAGAACATGTACTCGTCGTACAACAGGCGGATCAGGTGGAAGGAACCGAAACTGGCAGCGCTGCGCAGAGTCAGGTCTCGAATCACCATGGAGCTGTGCGGGTGAGGCGGCGGAAGGTGAAAGGTTAGTAATAGGGGTGTGCATTGCTCTAAAAATGCAAGGGAAGCTCAGCTTCCCCTAAAATGTCAAAAAATAAGTGATCAAACATCATTTTTGTCCTGCCCACCAGACGCTGCTCAGCGTCTCTGGGAGTCTATGGACAGTGGGCGTTTCTGGGCTGGCTCGGACGCTCAGCTTCTATGCATGATGATTGGATGATCTGTTTGAGGCGGAATCTCTTTGATTGACAGCGAAATGAACCAATCACTGATCTTTTGGTGTAGGCATCTGCGGGAGCATTTTTCAATTCTCATTCTGTTCTGAGTTGAACTGGAGACTTCTAATCATTTTAGCGACACTCTCTTTGTTGAAAACGACTAGCAACAAATTAAATCTTTTATTTCTGGTGGGTTTTATTGTAGTTGCTGTAGTTATAGGACACTAGTTAAGTCCCTGGAAATGACGCCTTGTTGGCATGACAGGGTCACAGATCATTTTCTTGAAAAGGAACGGAGAGTAGAATTCACATATAAATAAACGGACGCATTTTATGATGTCGGCCAAAATTGAGCTTCCCCTCCTTGACAGACCAACATCCGCCACTGCTTTGAAATGTTTCAAATTTTTGAGGACGCTATGAACGTAACTGTCAAGCAGAAATAAATGTCGGCTACCTGCGCTGCCCGGTCAGAATTTATCAAACACCATCAACCCTTGCGAAGAGTCGACGAGTGTACAGAAGTTTGTATAGAACTTAGTTAGCATAGCAACAGCGAAATCTTACAACTTCATTTATAAACGTGTGTGTGTGTGTGTGTGTGTGTGTGTGTGTGTGTGTGTGTGTGTCTCTCTCTCTCTGATTGTCCTCCTTGGTGGGGACATTTTGACTGCTCCAAGTGTATATATATATATATATATATATATGTATATATATATATATATATATATATGACACACACGCACACACACAGAAGTGAAAATCCCAGAAAAATCAAATCCAAAAAAAAAAAAGATACATTATTTGGTTTTTAAATGAATATAAAACGCTTTTTCCAATCAGATTCTTAGATTAACAGATTAATCGATTCTCAAAATAACAGTTGGTTGGAGTCCGACCTGGAACTTCACAAGTGTATCTTAATATGACCGTTGTTGTAATGTAATTTACCTGTAGAAGGACCATTTGAGCAGAAACTGCCGTGCCGCCTTGGGGAAGCTGGGGCTGCCCTGGTGAGGCTTGAGCACCTGAGAGACCACGTTGTCCAACCAAGTGGCCCACTGGTCCAGAGAACTCTGCTGCTGCAGGGTGACTTTGAAGTCCTGCTCCAGACGCTGCACCACGCTCTCGTCGCACTGGCACACCCACGACGCCTGCTCCTGTTACATAAGACGCACGCGGTCAACGGGAGCGCACCGCGTGTCACTGAGCGTTTGGGCTCTGTCGACAACCTGGACGTTAGCGAAGTCGACCCGGTTGAGGTCCGAGAGCATCTGGTTGATCTGTGAGGTGTTCTGGAGGACGGCGCGTGCCGCCTGGGCGAGGTGGTTCAGGCTGGTGTAACGTCTCAGCGTCTGCGCGAAGGCACTGACCACCGCCACCTGCACACGCACACAATTAAAACAAGTTACGACTACGCATGCACTAATTATTGGATTCTGACGGTATGATAACCGTGAGCAAAAAAAATAGTAATAATAAAATTAAAAAAAACACGTGAACATGGCATTAAAACGACAGCTGTAAAAATGGAGGATCTGGCCAATGGTTGCCCATATTTTTTTTACCTTTATGTACTCTAACCATTTACAGCAGTGGTTCCCAATCATTGGTCTGTAGAACAGTACAGGCGTAGACATATTTGGTACCGGGCCGCACAGAGACAGACATAACTAAATAACCCCCCCGATTTCCATCCGGAGCGTAATATAAGTAGAACTGGGAGATTATATGATTGAGAATCATGATGTGATGTGAAAGACAGAGTTGAGCCACTGCTCCTCCCATTGAAAGGAGCCAGATGAAGTGAAGTCGGCATCTGAATATTTTTACCACATCCTATGGCCCATTTCTTTTAAATTCATGATCTTTTGTTATGAGTCTAATTGTATATACAGTATTGCAAAATAATTATTAAATGATTATTTGTGTTTTTATTGTTATGTAAATTAAAATTGATGACCACAAACCACAGAACCAAAGTACCAAAAATTGGGTACTGGGATTGATTCGTAGGTACCGAACATTTGGACCATGTGAAAGGTAAGACTACTACTACTACAACACAACAATACCACAACCACAAAAACAACATTTCTTCTTCTTTCTTTTGGCGGTTGGCCATTATGGCCACCTTCTGGCCACTAGTGGTAATGCACCAAAAGTATTCACCAACCACGACAAGTCCTCGATGAGCGAACAGAAATTTGGGGTGGTATATCCAGGTTACACCTGAGAATAAGTCACAGAATAAGTGTAATTTTTTTAATTGACTTTTCTCCTTTGTAAGCTGTTTTTCTATTTTCATTTTGTCAATTACATAACCAAATACCCAAAAAACAGTGTCACCCCATTTGTGGCATCACTCAACATGTATACTGTTGGCTTTGCTTGTTTCATCTGCAGCCTATGACGGCCTCTTGACTCGGGATTAGAACGGCACCTGTTTCCACGTAGGTCTGTAAAGTGAACGTGAAGAAAAGCGGTTTTCCTGTCACCTTCGTGCGGATGATTTCTTGAGGGAAGCTGGTCATGGCATTCGTCAGCCATCCCTCCAGACTCTTGGCAAAGTTCCTGATGGCCTGAGTGAGAGTGCCTGCAGGAAAAACACAAACTGGGTTATAAATCTGCTCGTTTCATTCCCGGTAAGAGCTACAAGAAACACATTTCTCATGGCGCTTAGAATACGGAAGGAGAATAGACTGACTGGGAACAGGCCGCAGCACATCCGGGATGAGGATCTCCACCAAGGCCTGGTAGAGGATGTGATCACAGCTTCTCATCCATAGTCGCACTGGTTCATATTTGCAAAGATTTACCAGCTTCTCTCTGGGCAGCACGCCTTCCAGTTCATCATCACTGCACACGAATGAGACCAACCACGCCGGATTAACAATGAGCAGATGTTCATTCCATTCATTCATTCATTCATTATTTTTTTTAAATGGAACGTTCTCCCTGTTAAAGGGGGTACATTGCCCCCAAAAGCTCTGAGAACCTCCTGCTTTATCAAAATCATTTAGAGGACCAATTCAAGCCTTGTTCTTCCTGCGTGTGCTCTGACCTGTTGGGAATGGCGGTGCTCGAGTCACTAGATGGTGCTGTTGAGTACCAAAAGGTCTGCCAGAGCTTTTCGATGTAGTGGAACTGGAGGTTCATCACCACGTCTAGTGTGGCCTACAGGGAGGGGAGGAGGAAGAGGGAAGGCGGGGAAACTTTGAGAGGTGAACCATGGCAACCAGACACACAACACAGATCCTGCAGGCAGCTCCCGCTCACTGTGGGCTCCGGCTGGTTTCGTTGCAAGCCAGCGGGAACGTAGCAGCACATCAATCATGGGCACAATCCCCAAAGGTCACGTTTAGGTTTCATCATTCAAATTTGAGCTGGATTTCCACACTTTCCCGTGCCACTGGCACAGGCGGACGTTAGCTCACCGGTGTCACTTTTCCTACACGTGCGCATCTTGAATGGACACAGAATGTAATCTAGAGCGGAATGTGGTTACTTTAACTCAGATGAGGAAGTTAGTACAAGTGGACCACCACAATTATACTGTCCCGTCCCAAAATGACAACACGCGGATAGATAAAGTAAACAGGAACAGATAAAGTCATCTTTTTGCGGCGCAGCATATCTTGTGTTAAGACATTGGCAGTAGTGCAATGACTGTGAGAGTCTGTGTGTGCGTGCGTGCGTGTGTGTGTGCGCGCGTGCGTGCGTGTGCGCGCGCCTCGCTTGCCGCTGGATCTTTTTACACAGCAGTGTAGGCTTCGATCACAAGCTATGTTTTCGAGTCTACTTAGCTGTCACCATGGCAACCTTGTTTATGGTTGCCCCCAGCAACAGGTCAAACACAGAACTCCAAAACAAAAAGGAGAATTCCCCATCCCCCTTTTGAACAAGCACACAGTTTTTGGCCGAGCAAGAAAAACAGCATGCCTTAAAAAACAAAAAGTCATACTGAGTAGAAAGTACACATGATCACATTCCTGGCCATGCACTGAAAATGTACCGTGTCATAAATAATATTGTAACTCAAACTGTACACGCTTCAATACATTTCACTGACCAGCTGCGGTCAATCTGTCTGTCCCATGAGAGAGGGAAAAAAAACAGAATATGATTTCAAATGAGCATTTATAGCACAAGTAACTGAAAAGTCAGATATGGAGAAGCCTCTGCTAATGAGATAACAGGTCATGGTTTGGCTCCAAATGAAGGCAACCAAGTAAGCAGCATGAACAGTAACACACGGAGCGCTGCGAGAGTGGCAGACAAAGGCGGAAAGGCCGCGAGCCCGTTCGCAGGCAAGGCGACACAAAGGCCCGCGGGGACGCCACCACAAAGACACCAAGATGTCCAGCCAGCGCACAGAAAGGTTAATTGGCATGTCTTGAAAGCCGCTCGTGGATGAAAAGAAGGCTGGAACAAAGGAAGCACGGGGAGGATGGACATGGGAGGCCGGCGATAATGCGATAAAGCACTTGGCTGCTTTAATCACACAAGCGCCCGTCTGTTAAGCCCCCTGATTGTAATGTTTCTTATTATTTCCCTGTTCATTCGATGGTGGAAGCTAATTCACGATTTAAGCCCGTGAGCGAATTATGCAATCATATCATATTTTACTAAACTAAGAGAGGAGGCACCTGGTCAGGGACTGCTATGTCATTTAAGAAGTCAAAGTCATTGACGACAATACAGGCTTTACTCAGCCACTTTAACCCTTTCAGGGACAGCGGTTACTACAGTGGACAGCTTATCATGCTATCAGGTTACAGGTGATCATTATTGGTGCGTGAAAGGGTTGCGATCAAATAATCCATTTGGAAATGAAGGAATAGTAGTCATCTTTACGCAGCATGACTGCTATGCAGTGATGATGCCATCGGCCTGAAGAATTGTACACGCTCAGCGTCATTTTAATTTAACATTACACTGGATCGAAATCCGTCAATATTTTGCATTTATGCAAATGCGCTGATCATGCATTTTTTTTTTCTTCAGAAAAGCAGATCTTGTAAACATATTGAATAATTTGGATTTGGAGGGGGGGGGGGGTTCAATGATTATTTTTTTCCAATGCATTTTCGCTGTGACAGGGGTGTGAATGTAGAATAAATGCAAGTTGTTTGATATATTGTTCCATCTTCTCATCAAATCTATGATGGAGTAGCGTTTTTTTTCCAAACCTGATCGTTGATTTGACTCTAAAAACCCCGATCGAGTAAAGTCTAATTTTAATCGTGTTCTTAGTTATTATTCATCATCTGCCATCAGGCACGCGTTAAACAAGTAGGAAAATAAGTAGGAAAATATAAAACAAAGGCACTTCATTAAATTGCAAACAAAAGTATTTCCGATGTACCTTGAGCAAGGTGGTGGTAGATCTATGGGAAAAAATAAAAAAATGCCGTGAGCCAGCGTTGATGTTGGTTTAGTTTTCCTGAATGTCTCGGGACTAAAATGTACTTTTGTTTGATCAAAAATATTATCAGTTTGAACATTAAATATCTAGTCTTTGTCGTATATTCAATTGACTAGAGGTTGAAAAGGATTTGCAAATCATTGTGTCGTTTACATTTTACACAATGTCCCAACCAAAAGTGGGTTCGTATCTTATCGCAGTCAGATGCCCCACTGCTGCTGAGGCATGTTTCACTGTGCGTGCATTGTGCCAAATATACGACTACCTTTAACTTCTAGCAGGGGCTCTCGCTCCATTTGGTATTTTAAACGTTCAACTGACGGGGCCGTAGACATGACAACACCATAATGCTATGCTTAGCCACCCTCAGCAATCACAAATGGCAATAGGACGTCATTATCACCTGCAAACGCCTGGCGGTGGCAATTTGTGCGTCATTAATTTATGATTTTATGAGCAGCATATATCATGTGCAATTACAACACCAACAAGGTCCAAGTTGGGTGGGAGCCCAAGTGCACCTGAACAAGACGGTAAACGCATCCGTCAGTTGGGGCCTATTCTATTCTTTTTCTCCCCAACAACCGTTTGCATATTTCCTAATTGCATGAATGACTACAAGATATTAGAAACAGTACAACTGTCAGTGTTGGTTGTTTTAAAAAGTTCCTGTGTTTTCAACATATCTATTGCAGCTGGACAGATTATTACGTAAAAGGGGTGGGATGTCGTGAAGGACTGCGGATTGCGTATAAGGCCATCACCTACCTCGCAGTGGTCTCTGTAGAGGGTCTGCAGCTTCTTGATGTCGTTCATACTGATGCGCTCTGGCAGAGGCTGAGTGCCCACCTCGGGAGCGGGAAACTCGGGCAAGCTGTGGGCTGTGTCTGCATGATGGAGCACATATGTTTACAGGTCGTCACTCTCTCGCTCACACACGCAGATTAAAGACTGGATATAAGAAAGATTTTGAATGGAAATGTACGTGTGTCTGCAAATGCCAAATAATAAATATTAAAAAAAAAAATAAAAAAAATAAAGTAGTATCCAATCCAAATAAAATAAGGATCACGTCTCCTCATGCACTGACCGATGTACTGCTGATGGTGTTGGCTCTGAGCGGCAACAGACTGTTCTGGAGTGTTGTTGCAGTGCGAGTTGACGCACAGGTTGTCAGGCATTCCGTCGACCTTCTGCAGAGGTTTGAACCTACACAAGCAGGATAGCGGTTGAATGTTAAATAAATCAGCAAATATAAAACGGACATCACAGTCGATGGCTTCCGCATTACATTCCACCACGGGCAGGAGAGAAAAAGCCGTGTCAACAAAAAAAGATCTATAAACATCTCGAGCTTCAGATGACAGAGATGATGGAAACACTGGACGAAAATGAGATATATTCACGGAAAAAAAAAATGAACCGGACATTGTTGCATGAGGAGCTTTTGGAGACAAGAGAAGGAAGATAGAGAGCTAAGAATGGCGACCTTTGTTTCTGGTGGACAGGCTGCTGCCTCATGGCCATGTACTGGGTGTCCTCCTGCAGCCGGTTTAGGGGGGAGTCTGGCTTCACCCGGATGCCATAGTAATGATACTTTGAGTTGCCTCTGGAAGATTCAAAAGCCCGAAAGAAAGCATGTCATCAGAGTAATCATGGTCATTAGCATGTCGCTAATGGCCATAAGCGTCGTCATACTAATAGCTACTTGATTACTGTAATCTGGACCTTCGGCGTCACGGGGGAGGGACAAACTCAAAATTAGACGTACCTGGTTCCGAGGCGCCGGGTCCTGAGGCCCATGAAGACGGAGCGAATGAGCTTGCCAAAAGAGGCGGCATTGACTGGATCCAGTTTCTGCTCCTGGCAATGCCGCAAGTAATGGTTATAGAGGGAGCACCGGGGCAGGCTCACACCCTCCGCCGTCTCGTAGTTGTCCAGCAGCCACTGGAGCTAAACAGACAACAGAAAGACCCGAATCAGCCGAAGGACCGAGTCTGCAGCGTAGAGAAGCGGTGGATCCTATTATCTCACAACATAGGCAGCAAACACGCACACGAATTAAAGGAAACATTTATTTGACAAGAGGTAAACCACCAAGACCTCCCCTGTGCAGCGCCATCTCCACCCATCATCTCACTGAGGGTGACTTGCACGTGTGACTACGCAGCAGTACCTACTCTACTAACGTACCTAAACCACGGCAGTGGAAGTTGTCTGAGAACGATCCTCTATATGTGATATCTCGACAGACATCCTTGATTAGATCTTTTGTCATCACGGTGACGTGAGTGATCGATCACTCAGGAGCTGTCATCACTTTAAAACGCCAACTGAAGTTGTTCTCTGGCAACTGTATTTTGGTGCCCAGTGCATCCTAACATGCACTACTACAGTCAAACCTCGGTTTTCGTCCATAATCCGTTCCAGAAGGCTGTTCGAAAACCGAATTGTTCGAAAACCGAAACCATGTTTCCCATTGGAATCAAAGTAAAAATTTTTAATCCGTTCCAAGTCAAGAAAACAACTTTTTTATACCACTTTTTTTTTTTTTTTTACAATTTTACACCATAAACTGTACACATGTAATAAGAGAGGAGTTAATATGTAAAATACTGTACACACAAACTGTAATGTTTTATTTTCACCAATTTTAACTGTTTTTTTTTTTAAATAAATGTTTAACATTTCTTCTTGCAGTGGTCCAGCAGCACATTTCGTATCATAACAATATATATTGAATGTGAAAACTATCATCGGTAGTGTCTGTCATCATAAGGCACACTCAGCCTCCTGACATATATTGTCATGAGCTTAGAATTTTGACACGTCACACAACATTTTGGCGTTGTGGTTCGTCACTGTGAAAGCACAAACTCTCTGGCGCAACGGAACACGCCCATTTCATGATCGGCTAAATTTGTCCAAATTGTCTAAGGGTGCTTCATCAAAAAGGGCACGGACAGGCTGTTTGTTCTGAGCCCGAGTAAATTGTTCTTTCATTTAAAACACAAATACTTAGGGGATAAGTACATACATAAAACCCATGCAGAGTCAAAAGGATTTTTGATCGCGACGGCAAATGAGAGGAGGTCAGGGATGAATCATTTTGAAACAATAATGCTTGCTGTCACTCAAGCTATTGCAGGAGGTGCTATGTTCAACTTTGCCAACCCAAGTAAAACACAAAGCCTCCAGGATCGGCCACAGATTTCACCCCCCCCACCCCCCCTCACAAATTCTCATGTCCTTTTCAAAGACACTTCCAGATGGACTTACATGGCTGTTGAGCAGGCTGCTTTTGTGACTTGCAATTCCTTCAGACTTTTGGAGGTTTTCAATCGCCATTTCAAGCTAAAGGAAGGAGGAGGAGCATGCAAAAACATGTTGGGCACAGAAGGGGGAGGAGGCAAAAGAGGAAAAAAAAATTAGAAATAAGCAGAAGTACATTAAAACAACAAAAAAAAAAAGAGATGCAGGAAAAAAGACCGTTAGCAAGCAGCCAAATCTCTGCATTTCCATTCAAATCAATCAGTGTTGCCGCCAAACATTATTGCCACACAAAAAAAGCATGCGAATCAAGGGACATAGAGTTTGGTTAGGTCTGGCTGGCAGTCAGAAACTCTAATGTATGCTAATAGGACCCACAAATAGGGGCACAGGTCACATCGAGCTCAGAAACAATAGGTCAGCAGTGCCACCCCCCCAAGTACCACAACTTCCCAAAACAATGGCTTTGGAACACAAAAACGCTGGCAAAGCAAGACCCCGAATACACTGACATACGCAATGGAACCATTTGCGGAGTGCAATAAGTGATTTTATCTTTGATCGATAAGGTGATTGGGACTTTCCCATTAGAGCTGGAGGAAGAAATCAAGTCCCAAAGAAAAGACATGCTACTGCGGCCAACAGGAGATGTAGAAGCAAAAGAAGAAAAAAAAAAAAGAAGAGGAGGCATCGTTCCAAGGCCTAAGAATGCTCCCGAGGGCTCCTGGCCAAATGGTAATGAGCCCCAGGGGTTGCTTTGTTTCGCAGGGCGCTCAAGTGCCTGTGAAAACCTCTGAAACAAGGCATGCCTGAATTATTCAAGCCAGTGTCCCGATTTTGCAGGCTACTTTGCTCCTGCTTCACTGCAGAGCCCGACTGGCCCAACGATATAGTTGCTGTGACTTTTGCCACCTTTTCACCTCCATAGTTGTCTTCGGAACAGAATATACATGCTATTCTGCCACGATCTGTGTAGCATAGTGGTCATAGGGATGCTGCAGCAGTTTCAAGACTTTTTGGGGATCCCCCTCGAGCTACTCAGTCTTCCTCCCCCCCCAAAATGAGGCGTTTAGGCACATCCTCAATGTGGTTTCACGGCTTGCCATTTAGTCAAGGGGTCAAGATTGTGATTGAAATGTGTCATATGATAATTATATGCTCACGCAATGGCCATTCAAGATCCATTTCCCTCATACCACCCTGCTTACATTATAATGTGCTTGAATACCAGTACCCCCCCCCCCGCAACCCCACAAGGTTTTTATGTTAATATTACCGGACTGGTATGGAAAGAAAAAAAGCTGCTAAAGGAAGGTGGATACGCGTTGCTCACCATAGCTGAAGAAGAGCGAGAGGAGTGTGATATATGGTTGCGGCTTCCTTCCATGTTTCCTCCATGGATCAAATAGGTGCTGCCGCTGGAGATGATATGGCTGCTGCTTACGTCCATGGCAATGCCCACCATGCTATGAGGTGGTACCCCGCCACTTGCGGAGGAGACCACGGTGGCGACGTGCGCTCCGCCGGCCTGCGAGTCAAAGTACGATCCCCCGCTGCTCTGACCGTACAACTGAGCCTCTGGGTTGTAGTAGGCCGTGCGACTAGTGAGGAATCACGGTGGTTAGCATTCAGGACACCCAGCAACGAGAAAAATTGCACACCCCAGAACCTTTCTAATGAGAATAGCAGGTTAACATATGGATGGACATTTTGAGTTGTGTGCTCAAGGCTAAGAAGTAACTGAGACTGGTTGGTTCAGAGCTGAGAGTGGCATGACGATACTGTACTATCATAAATGGCTTGCTGGGATTTAGTTACCGTAGATGTGTAACAGTGTTGCTTTCAATGGGTGGTGATGTAACAATGCTTACATTGTCCCATTAGTGTAAACAGCCTCTCCGCCTTCCCCTACATAGTGCACCTGGGATGGATAGACATGTTGTGACTGCTGCACCTACAAAGAATGAACACAAATTCAAAGTAGGACAATTTTAAACCCTCGTCTAGTTTTGAAAAAAAATACAGAAACCAAACACTGTGCAAAGTGTCAAGCACCCCCAGTTATATTATTCAGTGGAAAAAGTGTGACAACCATTTTTTTTTTTCATTATTGAATGTAGAGACTGTCATAAAAAGGAATCTTGTTTGTATTTTTATATAAAGGTATCAATTAAAAGGCACTTGAGATGGAAAAATAGAGTGGTTTATATTTAAACTTAAAAAACAAAAACAAAGTGTTGCTAGTTGCCCCATCCCAAACCCCCAAGCGCAAAACCAAAGCAACTGCAACAATTAATGTCCAAACAGTAACAGTGATACCCAAACAAAAAAGAAAGCTGTGTGTCTCCTCATCGAGAGAGGAAGCGACAGTGAAGCTTGGACAAACCCAATTCCAATGAAGTTGGGATGTGGTGTGAAATATAAATAAAAGCACAACACGATGATTTGCAAACAATGTCCGGCCTATATTTGTTTGAATACATTACAAAGGCAAGATATTTAATGATCAAACTGAGAAACGTGGTTGTTTTTTCATTCACTAAGGATTTTATGGCTACAATATGTTCCAAAAAAGTTAGGGCAGGTGGCAAAAAAGACTGAGAAAGTTGAGGAATGCTCATCAAACACCTTATTTGGAACATCCCACAGGTGAACAGGCTAACTGGGAAAAGGTGGGTGCCATGATTGGGTAGTGGTATGGGAGCTTCGATGATTTGCTCGGTCATTCACAAGCAAAGATGGGGTGAGGTTCACATTTTCGCTAATAACTGCATGAGAAAACAGTTTATATTGATGACAAAGGTCCTCAGCGTACAATTGCAAGGAATGACGAGTCCACACTTCAAATTGTTTTTTTGGGGAAATTGTGGACATCGTGTCCAAAGAGGAAAATAACCATCCGGGCTGTTATGGACGCTAAGTTCAAAATTCAGCAACTGTGATGGTATGGGGCTGTGTTAGTGCCAAAGGCATGGGTAACTTACACATCTGTGAGGGCACCCTGAATGCTGAAAGGTGCATACGGGTTTTGGAGAAACATATGCTGCCATCCAAAGCAACATCTTTTTCATGGATGCTCCTGCTTATTTCAGCACGAAAATGCCAAACCACATTCTGCACGTGTTACAACTGCGTTGCTTTGTAGAAAAAGAGAGCAGCTACAAGACTGGCCTGCCTGCAGTCCAGACCTGTCTCCCAGTAAAAATGTGTGGCGCATTATGCAACAACAGAGACCCCAGACTATTGAAAGGCTAAAGCTGTAGGTCAAACAAAAATTGGAACGAGTTCCTCCTACAAAGCTTCAACAATTAGTGTCCTCAATTCCCAAATGTTGATTGAATTAAAAGGAAAGGAGATGGAACAGTGTAAACATGACCCTGACCCAGCTGTTTTGCGATGTGTTGCACTCATAAAATTCTACGTTAATGATCATTTGCTAAAAATGTATCAGTTTGAACATTAAATATCTTGTCTTTGTAGCGTGTTCAATTAAATATAGGGAAATCACGATCTGCAAATCATTGTGTTCCGTTTTTGTTTGTTGAACACAACATCCCAACTTCATTGGAATTGGGTTTGCACAACAACATTCATGCAAGTAGCTCTGCTGGGAAATATTTAGGCACTCTTGTGTAAAAAGCTAATGACAAAAGTTAGACAACTCAGTTACAGCACTCATTCACACAAGCGTGCAAAAATGTGGGGCTAAGCCTGATGTGATTTTTCTTAGTGGAGTGTGGGAAAAACAAACCAAGAAAAAAACAAAACGGTGTCACCTCTACAACTGTGCAGCCAACATGCCAAGATTCTTGTACGAGCATAAATATCCCAAGTGATTCCCCAGAACCAGTGAGAGTACAGTATTTCATAAGAGGAGTGGTGCAAAGACACAGGCAGTGGGCCAGGCTCAGCCAGAGAAAGACACTTGAGAGCAGAGAAAGCTTCGAGTACGCATTCAGCTTTCCATCAGCAGCTTTCAGTTAATGATTAACTGCTCGGCCATTATTAGAACAATATGTATTCCTCACAGTCTGTGATGATTAACTCAAATGTAAATTCTGACCCTCATTTGACACAAATAATAATACTACTTCCTCAACATGCTGTGCGTATATATTTACGACTAATATTTGTAATTATCTTGTGGTTTTGCTCATGAAGAAAGTAAGGCTCGGCATCAGGATCTTTAAGACCAAGGGGTATATGACTACGCTCACAGCACTGTATATGTCTTTACAGTACTGTGTACCTGTGCAGGCACCTGTTGAGCCCTGGATACTGAAAGCTGCTGTACTTGTCCTCCCTTCTGAACTGAGCCTGTGGCTTGTACCAGCGCTCTCTGTGTAGAATACAAGACATGGCTCCATTACAAACGTATGCAGGTATCATGACACGCACGGCCACGTTGCCATCAACAGATTCCATTCCTTAAAAATAGATGCTGACAAAAATCCCTTCTGCAAACAGCTGAGATGGGGACGAGAGTGACATTTAATGAACAGCGCATAAACATGCTTCGATCGTTCGGTTACGTATGGGTGGCGTGTTTGATTTAGTTTGTGAGGTCACATTATGGGAAGATTAAAAAAAGCATTCGCATTTATCGACGGGGTGATTTTAGATTATTTAAAAAACAACAACAACAAAAAGACTAGTCTGACTTCCAAAGTTATCTGCAACAGTACAGTTGCAGCCAGCCATCTTGTGTTAGCATCCTACCTGTTGGGAGGCTGGAACAGGCTGTACCACAGGGGCCTGGGCTGATGATGACGTCCGCAGCGCCGCCACGCTGGGCGAAGTGTCGGAGCCGCCCTCGGAGCTCTGCATGCTGCTTTGTAGGAAGGCCAGGAGCAAGCGAGAGAAGAGAAAAGGGGGTTGGAGGAAAAATGAAAGGAATTCAGAAGAGATTCAATTTTCAAATGTAAACCCATGAGCAGTTACTGGCTGTGTACACTGATAGTGTCCAATAACAAGTAGCGCAGGAGTGGGCAACTTAAATGACGCGGGGTACAATTTTTCATCAGAGCAACTCAGGGACCACATAAGACCACGCACTACCCAACCAGATGTATGGCAAAAATGCCATTTTAATTATGAGAAAAAATACGTGCATAAGTATACTTTTTTTTTTTAATTTACATCACAGTATAATGTCCATTTGTTTGTAAATACTTTTCAATATGCAACCCATGTAGAAATTGGGCCTTAACAAAACCGCAAACGAGGGGAGTTTGCGGTTCACCACTTTCAGCTGATTAGGAGGCCATAACCTTTTAGCCTTCATCACTTGCAAAGGAAGCAACGCGACTCCACTGTAGACTTTTTTTTTTTTAAATCTGCAGACAGTACATACGCAGGCAGGTGATTTACAGTAAAGTTACTTTCAGGCAGGAAAAAAGACTCAGCTACTTCCGAATGACCAAAGCAAGAGGAGCCTCTCAACTTCCTTTTGGCTAACCATGTGCTCTGCATAGAAAAAAGGAGAGCGAGGAAACACAGTGACACAAAGGCTCACCCCTCCCTAAAAAAAGTGTGAGCAATGGGGGTGATGAGATGATCCAAATTACAAAGGGGAGTAGGAAATACAAAAACTTCCCCTCGGAGCAAGTCTAATGAGAGGGATGAAAATGACAACGGGTCTGCAGGCCTGAGCAGGGTCCTGATGATATCCAGTGCTTGTTTAGAACCAGAGGCACTCCCTGAGGGCCCAAATAATCCAGCTGATGTGAGGAAATTCCTGAATGCTTTGCAAACTTATTTTGGTTGCCATGGTGAAGAATCCATGGCAACCACCCCCAACTCAAACCTCTCCTCCCTCCTCGTTCGCCCCTACCCCCACCGCCCAACCTCCGCCTTTCTTGCATAAGAACTTCGGAGTGTGACCGCAAGGACCTGAGTGAGGGAGGAAAGCAATGAAGATGCTCTGGGGCGGGGTGGGATGCTTTCATTTAATGAGCAGCATTAAAGACAAAAAGACCGGCTGGGAAGATGTGTGGTCTGTGTAGGTAGATGGAAGAACAGCAATAACTCAAGCCACACTGTGCTAAATCATAACAACAATAACACAAGTTAACAATATTGAGGCTTTCGTAATAAAGCACAAAAGCAACAGGTGCAGCAACTTGCGTTCCTCGGCTTTATCCGCACAAAACGTTCTTGCTGCGGCTTCAGAATTCGAACTACGCAAGCATCCAATCGACACAATCTTTTTGCAACCACAGCGTCACATAAAATTGGCTCAATGTGTATTTCATTTTCATTAATAAATGGCTTTCTCCGAATAAAAGGAAGGAAAAATCCAACAGGGCAACTCAAAGAACCCTAATGTCATCGACCAGCAAGCCCTGTTTATTCAGGCTCTACAGTTTTTTTTTTCCTTTCAGTACAAAGCATCACACATCAATTGTTGTCTAAAGCGTCTTCTTGACATAATAACAAAGAGTCAACATCACCACAAGTTGCGATTGGGACACATCCCCATTTCACCCGGAAAAGTTGAGATTTACCATTCAACCTCATATTCATTAAAGTGGGTAGATGTTGAGATCTTAGATGTTAGTAATGCATTTTGCTCAAGTTGCCATGCTTCATTAAAAAAAAAAAAAAAAAAAAAAAACTGCCTACAGACAATGTGTATGCAAACATCAAAAGATGTGACTTAACTGGCAGAGCGAACAATGACAGGGCAAACATTTTTGGTTAATGTTAGCCCATAAGCAATTGGTGGCCCTTCACTTTGCAACATATTCAGTTAGCATGCTGACTGTGTACTGTTTAATACATACATATTTTAACTTCCTGAAATATTTTAAGATCATCTCATATTTCACTATGACGCAGTGAAATGGGAGTTTTTATTCTGTGATTTTCCCTTTTCAAGACACCAATAAAGAAAAACAAAAAGCTAGTACTGTCACTGAACATGTCAAAGGGTCCCCTGAAGAGGGAAATGACTCAATAATGACAGGGTGGACAGCATTTTCAGAAAATGCAAAATGTTCCATGTGATTACAAATATTCCATATGCATGATCAAAATGCAGTTTTTTTTTCTCACAAATAACCTGTGTACAATGAAACCATGGGAAAAAAAAACAATAATGGATTCAGGATCATTTATCAACTTAATGACACCCACTGTAGTATGGCAAGGCAATTAATCGAAAATTAACATTGTTGGCTTCTCCATCGTTATCTGATCTGCTTATCGTCATGAGGGGAGCGAGCGTACTGGAGCCTATGCCAGCCGTCTTCGGGTAGTTGACACTGTAAACTGGTTGCCAGTCAATGACAGGGCACACGAAGAGAAACAACCATTCATATTCACAGTCACAGCTAGGGACAACTTAAGAGTGTGCCATAAAAACACCGTGCATGTTTTGAAATGTGCGAGGAACCGGAATACCCAGAGAAAACCCACACAAGCACGGGAGAACATACAAATGCCACACAGGCAGGCGGACCCCGGATTCGAACCCTGGACCTTTGCGCTGTAAGGCGGACGTGCTAACCTGTCGTTCACCGTGCTGATGTTGGCTTCTCAAAATAATTTTTTAAAAAACATGATAATCTCAGAACAACGATAAATGCGCTCATTCACGCACCATGTATAAAAGGGATCATGCCTTATGTTGCACTGAAAGTTGTGTTCATATAATGTACACAGCCATATTTGACATTTTGAGGTGATTTTTTTTTTAAAGGGTTAAAAAAATCCAGTTAAAAAAGTTTTTATCTTGTTTTCCTTTTTGGCAAATCCGAAAAACGATCCATGACTCAAAACTGTGACATAATCCTAACCGTGATTTTTTTTTTTTTTTGGATCCCTTGCACCCCTAGTCAGCAGTGAGTAGAGGGGAAGTATGTCTTCTTCAAGATAGAAAACAATACATGAAGTGGGTGTGCCGCCACTGGCTTTTCCGCACGAACAAGCCATGACTAACACACTGAAAGAGTTATGTTGAAATATCACTCTGTGTGTGTGTGTGTGTGTGTGTGCGTGTGTGTGTGTGTGTGTGTGTGTGCGCACGTGTACATTTTGAAACAACACAGTTGGTTGAACACATGGCAATTAGCAATTTTACATTAAAATCCTGAATTTCACAGAGTAACACAGAGTAAACACTTTTAAAAAAGTGCTGCACTTCTTTTTTGTCATTCTAAGGAATGGCATTTGCCAAAAGAGGGTAAATCAAGTTCTAAATAAACTACCAACAAGTTTCCTGTGACAAATCTTCAAATCTGTAATCTTCCCAAAGTAAAATCACAAAAGCCTGAAAGACAGATTGGCTTGTTTGATGCATTTAAAGTGTGCATGTCCATTGAAGTCCATTAAAGCAGGGGTCCCCAACCGCCGGTCCGCGGACCGGTACCGGTCCGCCAGGCATTTGGTACCGGGCCGCACTGAATTA